TGTAAATCTGAGGATATACTGTATAGATTTACATAATGCTGCATTTCCCCAAAAAGTAAGAAGTAGCTGGAAAATATTAGCCTTCAAACCTAGAGCCCAAACATGCCAGCCCCAGGGCCTCCCTCCACTCACCTGCCCTCGCTACCCTCCTGCTCTACTGGTGGGAGCTCTGGAAGGCTGGGAAGGTTAGTGTGGACTGACGGAGGCCAGCATTTTTGAGCTGTAGTTTTCAAGGTAATTATTTTTTAGCTAGGACTTACTTTGGGAAGAAAAAGTGTACACTCCAGATAGAAAAAATAAATTAATTGTACTAATGCCTTAGTATGCATTTTTGTAATTATTCACTTCTTCTATGATAGACTAAGATCCCAGTCAAAGAAATTCCAAGAATCACCAACAGATGTTGGTCTAATGGGTGAAATTCTTTGACTAGTGCTTTAGTACTACTAATAATAGCTTTTGGGGTTTTTAAAAAATATATTTTATTAAGGGAAATACAGGGTCTCACTATGTAGATCAGACTCATAGTGAGCCTTCTGTTCTCAGCCTTCTAAGTGCTGGGATTACAGGTGCACACCACCATGCCCAGTCTCAGTCACTGTCTCAGTACACCACGGGGGTGGGGCCGGCAGCACACTAGGGATAGAATCCTGGTCCCTGCGCCTGTCTAAGCAGGCGCTTTAGTCCGCTGAGCTATTTGGCCAGTCCATAATAGTTATTATTAAATAAACAATTACTAGATAGATTTTGTATTATTTTACCTAACCTTTACAGGAATTCTACAGAATACATAGCAGTATCTCCATAGATGAGGGTTCAAAAATCAAAATGAATGTAAGCAAAGCTAAAGAACTCACGGGAAAATAAGAGATTTAAGTGCAGACCCATTGGATTCTAAAATGTTCAGTGCTTCTGCAATGACTGTGCTCTGGGGCGGGGGGAGACTACTTAATGCAAAATCCAGCATTTGTGCCCATGAGCTTTGAGGGACTCCACAATGAGTAAAATACCATGTGCGAATGTGCGAACCATCAAAATGGGCTGCAGAGCATCATACATTAAAGTTTAATATTGGACTAAGGGTGTAGCTCAGCTGGTTGAGTGCTTTCTTAGCATGTGTAGAGTCCTGGGGGTTTGATTCCCAACGCTGTAGCTAATAATAACATTAATAATGACAACTATGGTTAAAGATGCAAATTATGAGACAGTGACTGTAAAAGTGGGAAATTCTTGCTGTTTAGCAAAAAAAAAAAAGAGGAAGTGAACAAGTGTGTAACAAACAGCAATGGTACAAGGCTGTGTTCCCTTCAGTATTTTTACCCAAATCTTTAAGGAAGGCAGGATTATGTCCGTGCTTTAAAACAAAACAAACAACCCAACAAATGTGTGTGCTGGTGAAAGGTGTAACTTCTAAGAAGTAGGACTGGGGTGTGAACCAGGCTCCCCAAAGAAAGGAAACTGAAGAGGGGGAGGGTCTTGCTCCTCCTCTAGCTCAGGAAAAGATTGTTCATTGCAGCATCCACAAACCTTTCTGGAAACCGAGAGATAAACTGAAATTACACTATTTTGTGAACTACACCGTTTTGTGAATTCCGCTATTTTGTGAACTCAACACCTGACAATAAACAACAAATACAAAGTACGCAAAGTAATCCATGTCACCAAGTAATGCCCTCGCTCCCGAACTTCGTCTCATCTTCTCGGAAGCTGCTGCATCTGCAGCCTCTTCATACCCTGAAGCTGAGGATAATTAGAGAAAACGCTGACAAAGGCACTACTAATTTCTTCTTGTTTCCCTTTGCTGAGCACACTGATCAGAGCCCCTGGGTTGGCTGGGAGCATCGTTCAAGCAGGCAGCCATAGTGGAAAAGCTCACTTTCAAGCAGAAGAGGTTTTCAGTGTGTTGTTTTCACAGGGCCGCTGTTTGCACAGCTAAAAGCTCACAGCAGTAAAGACTGCCCTTGTGGTTTCTCCTCCTCGCGTACTTCTGTTTTTCTTATTCTGAGTCTTTATAGGAAAGGAAGAGGCGCAGCTCATGCGGTTAAGCACACAAGCACTTACAAGTGGTGCAACTGGTTGCCATAGCACTAGCATAATCAGCCTTATCTGGGTGAAACCGCAACTTCTCTAGCTGGCGTTGAAGCTGCCTGGTTGTACATTTTAGCTACTCTGAATACTGAATTTTAGTGTGATCTGGTTTTGCTCTAATGAAAATATATTTCAAAGATAGGGTTGATTTTCATTATTCATGCATTTCATTTATAAAAGCACTTATAAATGATTTTTTGAATAAGGAAAAAATTTAGAAACTCATCTTTAGTAGTATAAGCAATCATCTTCTCTTTAGCCAGCAATTGAACTGCATTAAATAGTTGCAAAATGAAACTTGGAGAAAACTGGTAACAGGTTAAAAAAAGTAAGACAGAATTGATTTTTAATTGGAGATGAGATTCATATTCCTTTTACAGTAGAATTCTGAAATGATCAAATCTAATTCAGAAAGGAGTTTTCAAATTTATGAAATTCTCTCATCTTATGTGAAATATTTACCAGAGGGAAATACTGCATCATAGTCTTAGCAAGCAAATATACTGACTTGAGAAATTAAGTAGCTTCTTTTTTTTGCCATTTTTAAAAATTTTGTCTAAATTTTAGTAATTTTACTGAGAAAGAAGCAACAATGAGACAGTTTCAAAACAGCTTACTAGGACAGTTACAATAATTAATACATTGCATATTGTTGTCTTCGTAGTAATTATTCAGAGTACAAGATGCAGATATGGTATCTTGTCTAAATACTATTAGTACAAATATTTCTTCTTATTGAACTAAGAGAAAGTAGCTGTATATTTATGCTATTATGTATACACAGATATATATTTTTTCCACTACAAAATGGTCCATTTATATCCCCTTTTTTCTTTATTTTTGTCAGAGATGTGTATTCCATTGCCATTCATACATAGTAGGTGCATTAATTCAGCAAAATAATCCAATATAGTCCAGTAGTCCATAATAGTAGTGGGTTTTCTGTAGGACTGGCAATGTCAGAAGTTGTTGACTTGAGCCTTTTACAGCTCAGCATATTAATACGACTTTACTTTTTATACCTTATTCTTCTACTTTTCTGCTGGATGGTTATGACCAAGATAAAGCAAGAACTGTATAACAAGAAATGTAACTTTTGTATTTGATAACATCAGTCAAGTCCCTTTATCCTGTAACCCTGTACTGCACTTTGTAGATCCTTTGTCAGTGTCAGCCTTGTGGATGAGTCACAGCCATTGGTTGACCAGTTTGCTCTCTGTGAAAGCCTGAAAGAATGTTTTCTCTCCATGTGACTCTCCTTAGGCACACTCTACATCATCGATCACCTTCCTCGGTAGCCCCATACTCTCCTTCATCAGTAAATTTGGGACAGAACTGAGTTATAGGATGTTGCAGTACAGGTTCTCCTATGTCCTGAGTCCTCATTGACCTTGAAAGACTGAAAGTCCCTCACAGTCTTGAGGGGATTTGACTGACCTCGTCAGATGCAAAAGTTACAGTTTTTGTTATATAGTACCAAAATGTTGACTGTCCTTGCAGCCCTTCTCTTTCTCTAACTTTTGATCTGAAACTTTAAGTTGTTAATCCTCCAGAAGAGAAGCTTAATATTATTACCCTACAACATAGGCAGTTGAGCTTAACTTTACTATCTGTCTGAATATCAAACATCTTAGATATAACATGGAACAGATATTTTCCATGAAGAATTGATATGTTAAACTTTAAGTCCCTACAGAATATGAAGATAAAAATTTAAAAACATAAAAAAATTTAAATAGGACTAAATAATTACATATTTTTACAAAGAAATTTAGAAATCTAACTATATACTCACTGTAGCAGGACAGACCTATAACATTTTAAGTACCTTCTTTAATCACATATTTGATAGTCTCATGAAATGCAAAGCCAGAAAACACAGATGAGAGAACACAGTCATTTGTGTTTTGCCATATTAATCGATACCCTTCCATTTTGGTGAGTGACAACTTTCCAAGCTGAGGATTTCTATCAATTGTGTTTTGTTTCTACTAAATCATAGTTTCATAATCCAGAAAATATTGAAGTTATGTAACAAGCTATATAGAAAATCTTTGAAAAGATCATGACAGCCTCTTAGAAAAGAGCTTCTTAATTTCTTTAAAGAAAATCATATTGGACCTATTCAGCATCCCTTGCTCACTGGAAAAGTTTTTTCCATCTTGAATAAAAAAGGAGCATGTGTTATACACATGCACTGATACACTATCATATGTAACCTTCAAAATATCCTTTTGTAATAAAAAGTTAATACTTTTGTTTTATAAGTGACAAGAACCCACTTAAGTAAGAGTTTCAAATGTAGATTAAGTGTAAAAACCAAGTCAGCCAGACTCTGAAGCTCCTGCCTTTCCTACTAACTCCATAATGGTGCTTCTAGGAGAAGAGGATTCTGAGCATTCATTTCCCATCAACCTCCTGAATGTTGCTAGGCAGTCCTTGAATACCTAAGGCCTGTCTCTTGCATCCTTTCCCTTCCTTTGGCCTTTGGCCTGGCCCAGACTTCCCACATCCTGGTCAATAACCTTTATACTCAGTGTCTTCACTGACAGCTTCCTCCACCCCTTCATATATATAGCACAGTAGTGCCATCAATTCACTTTTAAAATATACTGGTATATTTCTTCCCCATTAAAATACTTTATTTTTTTATTTTTTATTTTGACATCAGTTATTTTTATTTTAAAGAAAAAGAAATAAAAACAATTTTACAAAATCTCAAAACAAGATTTTAAGAGAGTAACAATGGTTAGTATATTGTGTATTGTTACTGCCAAAGTAGTTTCTCATATTACAAGATATAGGTAAGAAATAATAAGCAAATAACATAGGTACAAACCTCTTTTTTTTTGAAGTCAACAGAAAATGGAAATATACTTTTTAAAGTTTCTAATACTAGGAGAAGATATCATACAATGTCTTTTAAATGAATTGTAAGTCAAAGATACAGTATAAATCTTAGAACTCATGGTGGGGTATTGGAAAAAGATTTCAATTAACAATAATGGTGCCTCGGATAAACCTCATTGGCTACGATACTGCCACTGCGCAAAGCTAAAATACTTTAGTAGAAGTACCTACAGTCACATAGTGCTAAAACCTTGAGCAAAATAATTTTGAAAGCCACTATGAGAAAAGTAATGTGTAATTTCTCATTTCATAAGGTGGCATTGCATTTCCTCTTGGCATTTCCATGTTTTAAATTTTCATACGTCTACATTTCTGCTCAGATAATGAAGAATGAAATGCAAAACTGGACCCCAACATATGCATACCTGTGCTGAAGAAAGAGCTTGACTTTGTTTTGCACTCAACTGACCAGGTTGTGAACCTTAGCTCAGGCAATTACATCCTTGTGCTGGTTAACTATCCTAAAAGGCCATGACTGAGCACACAACATACCCGAAAGAAGTGCAATCAGTGCCCTGAACAGTCTTATGTCCACTGCAGTACTATTTGCAGTACGTATGGCCTCAATCCCCACCATCAACAAATGAATGGGTGAAAAGGAGGTGATATATGTGCCGTGCAATACTATTGGGCCATAAAAAAGGGTTGAAATTCTATCATTTGCAACAACATGGATGAACCTGGAGGATACTCTCTTAAGTGACATAAGGTAGAAAAAGAAAGGCAATTAGTATATGATCTAACTCATATGTGGAGTGTAACTAAGTTAAGACATAGGAAAAGAGTATTGAACAGTGGTTACCAGAAGCAGAGAGAGAAAAGGAGAAAGAGGCTTATCAAAAGGCGAAAATGTTATGGTTAAGAAATAAGTTTAATGTCTAAAGCATACAACAGTTCATATGATTTATAATAATGTATGCTTCAAAATAGCTAGAAAAGAGGATTTTCAGTGTTTTAAATGTTTGAGTTAATGGATATGCTAATTACACTGATTTGCTTATTTTACATGAATACATGTATCAAATCATCACATAGTGCAGTGTAAAAAATAAAATATAGTATTGTAGCTTTAGCTTCCTTGTCTTTGGCATAAGAATCATAATACTTGGTGTGTGCATGGTTGGATATGTGAATTATATAAAATAACATTTGCAGATGTCTAAGCAGATAGCAGGTCCAACAGTAATGCTGAATAAATGTTTATCACAGCTTATTCTTTCAAACGGCATAAAAATTCCATTTTAGCAAGAACTTGGAATTAGGCATCTAAATGTTCCTACTGTCTTGAGCTCTCCTTTCTGCATAATTCCTCTGTGATTAATGGCTCCCACTGAGCAAAAAACAAAAAACAAAAAAAAAACTGAATTCACATTCAGATATTGTTGCATGAACGTGCCCGTAACTCGCACGTACTTACCACATTCAATGCAATATTTTATCATGTGCTTTTCATACTTCCTTTTGATCATTAGGGGCTTTAAAAATGTTTTTATCAAAAGCAAAGTTTATGAGTGACCATACAGATATCAGCCCTGTAACCACCTGATTCTCCAGTGACCAGTCATGCACGATTCTATCTCTGTGCAGTGGGAACGGCTGCCTCCGGTGGGCTGTGCACCCAGAGGCCCCTCCCAAAGCCACTCAGAGCAAATGACAGTGCCAGGCAGGGCCCAGGATTGGGGATGGGCCAGAAAGCTTCCTCCAAACCCCCTCACTCACTGATACAAATCAACCATCTGTTTCTTCAGTTTGAGAATTATGCAAAATAGTTTCTCACAGTTAGATGGAAAAAGATGTTGCCTCTCTTCAAGTTCAGGTTCAGTGTATTACTCCTCCTGCTAATGGGCTGACGTAGCCCCAAAGGTCAAAGCAACAGCCCACACTGAATTTGAACCTATGCTACTGCTAACACAGTTGAAGGCTGAAATTTCAGAAACAAGGTTCATTTAGACCAAAACCCTCAGAGCATCCAGAAGCCGCATTCGTGAATCCACGTGTTAAATTAAAACATTTGAATGGAATTACTGAAAACAGTAGTTACACATCATTCAGCAGTTTAGAACATGAATGCCTACTAGTTTAAATAAAGTTAATCATGACTGGTTTGGCTTCCATTTAATTAATTGTCTCTACTGATTTTTAAACTTAATGTGCACATGTCAATCCCAGATAGTAGCCATAGCCTTGATTGTGAGGTATAGCCTAAGGTAGGAATGGTATCTTGGTCATTGGGATGTTTGGAAATCCTAATTTCCACTTAGTCTGTTAAATAAAACAAATTTCTGTAACCATTTCTGTAATGAAGTTAGTGGTCTGATAAAGCTGGACGTTGATAAAGGGACTTTTTTTGAACAGAATATATTTATTGAGGGAAAGAAAGCTCCTGTCTGAAAGAGGAACAAGAGGGGGGCCCCAAGCCAGTGGTCTCCTTTTGTAATAATAAAAATCTTCCCAGGAAAATGTTTTCAAATTATTAAGTAATATAGCTGATTTTTATATGGGTAGAAAAATATTTTTTGTGACCTCAAAAGGAAATTCAGCTCTGCACACAATGTGTCACTTCATGGCTTACAAAGAGCAAATCTGGGAAGGAGATTCTTAGGGAGATGCTTAGGAGGACTTCGTGGGCTGTGTTCTTCTTTTTTGTCATTATTTTATCTCCTCATTATAACTTTTCCTAGTTACTGGGAAGGTGAAATCAGATAGGTTTGTATTGTTAATGAAATATAATCAATGGCATATGTTCCTTAAAGGAAAAAAAAAAGTAAAATAAACCTAGATGCTAGTAATGAAGTTAAATGTGATCAGCATTTAGTAAGAAATGTTTGGGATATTTTTCTATGATAAGTGTATGTATTTTTATGGTAAATCACTTCCCTCAACAAAATTACATGTTGTTTAAAATCCAGATCTTTAGGCCGGCCAAATAGTTCAGCAGATTAAACCACCTGCAAGCAGACGCAGGGGCTGGGGGTTTGATCCCCGGGCCTGCCATGCTGACTCTGCTCCCAGCGCATGCTGAGACGGTGATTGAGACTGGATGAGGTGGCGTATGCCTGTAATCCCAGCTCTTGGGAGGCTGTAAACAGGCGGATCACTATGAGTCTGATCTAGTAGTAAGACCCTGAACATCCTGTAGACTCCTCTCTAAAAACTACTATATACATATATATAATAAAATAAAATGAATAAAAATTAAAAAAAAATAAAATCCAAATCTTTGTTTCCAATTGAAAGTAATCCCATGCTGAAAAATATAATTACTTTTCTTCATAAAGTTGCTAGAAACAAGAAGTGCTTAAAATTTACCAAAAATTTTACAAGGGGTATATATACTGTCTATTGCAAATATGTACCCTCCCCTCAAAAATAAAAAGAATTTTATAATAAGAAATATCTTTTAAATTTTTAAGTTATTTATGTATTTGTTTATTTATTTAGTACAGAGTCTCGATACACAGCTTGGACTCAGTGATCCTCCTGTCTCAGCCTCCCCAGCCCTGGGATTACAGGTGTGCACCACCATGCCTGGTTTCAGTGGTCGGCATGGTGTGGGGCTGGCATGGCATGCGGTCCTGAGGATCAAACCCAGGTCCTTGAGCTTGTCAGGCAGGCACTTAGACTGCTGAGCTATCTCCCCAGCCCCAAGAACTTTAAAATAAGGAAGATTTTAAAAATAAAAAGGGTCAGGAGCTTGGTGGAGAGAGGAGGAAGGGACTGACAGAAGGACTTTGATATGTTATGTCTGTGTACTAACTTCCCACTAGGAATGTAAACAGTATGTACTACACATGGGTACTGATAAGAAAAGAGAACCTGTGACACGGTTACTATGGTCATTCTTTAATTCAAATCCTATAAATCAGGCCTTCAGATACACTTAGTTGAAATTCACGCGATATTTGAGTGCTAATAACTTTTTTAAATGATCATGCAAAGTAATGGGGAAATGATCAATCTCCAAGTCGAGGTAAGGGCTGGGAGAATAACTGAATAATTTTACAGCTAATTATTTAAACATTTTTTGTAACTTAAATATAGACACTTTTTATATCTGCATGTAGAAAGAAGTCTAGAAGTATATAAATCAATGTGATCATTAACATATTAATTAGCATTGCATAGCCAACTCACACATTTATTCTTTAAATTGTTATAATGAATGTTATACTCAATGTTATACTGTTATAGTGAATTATAACAGTTTATAATTAGAAAATTAATTTGTAAATAGAAAAATGATATTTATCACTAGTTTATTCAAAAGTACATTTTAATCTTAAATTTTCTACTTATTGGTTTTATTATGAACATTGAAAAATGCAAAGGAATATAGATCATGTTTTTGAACCAAGAACCATCGTGTGCTAAATCTTCATTTCATGGGTGTTAAAATAATATGCCAACAAATTTATAATAAATGAGAACAGTTGTCCCAGTGAGTAAGTTAGAGCACATGGTGAAGATGAGCAGCATTTTTTAAACATGAATAATCCAAAATGGAAATATTAGCAATACTCAAAATTACCTAGGGCCTTCTTATTACAGTAGAAATAGTAGTGGTGGTGATATTAACAAGAGCTAATATTTATTACCCTTTCCCAAATCCCAGTAGCATTTTGACCTGCTTGGTTAGGCAAGGGCCCGTTGCGTGGCGCCCGGTCCCTCCACACACTCTGTCTAGCACCACCTTCTCTCTGCTTTCCTGCTGCCCACATTGCTCCAATGCATTAATGCTTTAAGGTAACTATTTCTCTAGTCTGTCCTATAGGTAGGAACAGAGAAGGTAGGAAGCATAGTAAAAGTTGAGGGGATCCTAGAGCTTAAATCCTCTAATTATTGCTCAAAGTAGACCTGCCCTACCATTGAGCTCTGCCTTTCTATCTGAAAACTGTTTGGTGAATAATATGCTTCCTGCTATGTGTGCTAAATGTCAGACATATGTATAGTAGACAACCAGAATAATATTGTGATTGTGATTACCAGGAATACCAATTTCAGCTAGGAAATGACTAATTGGATGAACATTGTTGCAAATCTTGATGACAAGTTTTAGACAGAATTTTGTATTCACCAGCATTTGAAAGAGGAAATTTATGATATATGGTCAACTACATGCATTTCATGGTATATATAATGTGAATGA